CCTTCCCTTTCAGCCGGACCCCGTTTTGCGTCACCCAAATTCCAGCGCGTCGCTAAGACTGCAAAGCAGCAGAGTCGCGCAGCTTCACAAGGTATCCAGCGAGATCCCCGTTGTAACCCATGGTCGCCACCGCCCGTGGGACGCAAAGGTTTACGCTTCTGCCCATGAGCCCCCAGGAGATCGCAGGCGAGGAGGAGGAGGAGGACGAAGAGGACGAGGAAGAGGAGGAGAGCCCCACTTCGAACAGAAATGGCTTGCCACCCGTGCAGCTGCTCTAAATATAAGGAGGGAGCGAACAACGGCATGAACATCAAAGCTCGGAGGTCCGCGCGGATTTCCCGGATCGGTGCTGGAACCCCTTCCATGGCGCGCGGAGCGCGCCAGCGGCGGCGCCGAAGGCGCCGCCAGGGGGGTCCAGCGCGGATCCGAGAAATCCGCGCGGACCTCCGAGTTATCATATTTATGTTTTTCTCAGTTCCTTGAATCATTCCTCTCTCTCTCTCTCTCTCTCTCTCTCTCTACATATGTATATATATACACACATATGTACACGCATAAATCTATATAGTGCGCAGGCAGCGCTTGCACCTGGGGCCCCTACTTCCCCCGAGGGGAGCGCGGCCCGCGTGCGGGCCCCGGCGGACCCGTTCCCTCCCGCCCGTCGCCGCCCACACTTCCCGATGCCAGGCCCGGCTGCGGCCCGTCGGCCCCGTCCCCGTCCGTCGCCGCGCCATATAGCCCGGACCCTCTCAGATCAGGAAAACATCACGACGGTCGGTTTTTCGCGATTTGGGGCCTCTGGGGGCCCTTGCCAGGCCTTGGGACCGTCAGAAAATGACTCGGGATGAAAAACCTGCCGCGGGGAATGGGTCGAGACCTCCAGAGTCAACGTCATGAAAAAATCGTGGCGTCGGGGTCTGGGTAGCTTACACCGCATAGCTTACACCGCATTGCTTGCACCGCATAGCTTGCATCACGCGTTGTGACACACGTAGCTTGTACCGCATAGCTTGCGCCGCATGGATTATACCACATAGCTGCCATCACACAGCTTACACCACTTAGTTGGCACAGCATAGCTTACACCACATAGCCTGCACCACGTAGATGGACACACCTAGCCTATACCACACAGTTGGCACCGCAGAGCTTGCGCAACTTTGCGCACACCAACATAGCTTGCACAACGTAGCTTATACATTCACTGTGGCATGGGCTGCTGCATGGGGCTTATGCAGGCTAACATATGTTTGCATCTGCGGATGTGCATTGACGCGCGTGCGCGCTGTTACTATACATATATATATATATATATATATATATATATATACATATGTAGACGTCTCAAAAAATGCTCCCTTCAGAGAAGGGGCCGCCCATGACTGTTGCAAACTGTTCGAAAGAGGTTAGCCAGCGCGGCCCAAAGCAATGAGTTATTGCACTGGATGTAGAATTTGCACGGTGCAAGGTAAGTGGTATAAGCTGGCTTACTTGGTGTGAGTTGGAGGTGTAGGCTATCAGCTGTGTGCTGCAGGTGAAGGCTATACCGTGAAAGCCACGTATGTGGTGTAAGCTAGGAGGTGACATCTACGTGGTGCAAGCTATGCGATGTAAGCTGCGCTGTGCTACGTATGCTGTGCCAGTTGTGCCGTGTAAGCTATGCTGTGTGAGTTATGTGTCGCCCACGAGGCACCCACCAGCAGGCACGGGTGCGAGCACGGCGACACTTCAGCCGGGCCACCCCGCGCACGAGCCGCCCACGAGCCGCCCACGGACGCCCACGAGCCGGCACCAGACGAAAGCCCTGCGGACCCAACTGGCGCACGAGGCGCCCTATGGGCGCCCACGTGGAGGGGTTCTCCCAAGGGCTTTGGCGACCCGTCCTCCTCCTCCTCCTCCTCCTCCTCCTCCTCCTCCTGCTCCTCCTCCCCCCTCCTTCCTCCTCCTCCTCCTCCTCTTCCTCCTCGTCCTCCTTCTCCTCCTCCTCCTCCTCCTCCTCCCTTCCCCTCCTCCCTCCTCCTCCTCCTCCTCCTCCTCCTCCTCCTCCTCCTCCTCCTCCTCCTCCTCCTCTCCTCCTCTCCTCCTCCTCCTCGTCCTTCTCCTCCTCCTCCTCCTCCTCCTCCTCCTCCTCCTCCTCCTCCTCCTCCTCCTCCTCCTCCTCCTCCTCCCCCCTCCTCCTCCCTCCTCTCCTCCCCTTCCTCCACCTTCTTCTCCTCCTCCTCCTCCTCCTCCTCCTCCTTCTCCCCCTCTCCTCCTCCCCCCTCTCCTCCTCCTCCTCGTCCTCCTCCTCCTCCTCCTCCTCCTCCTCCTCCTCCTCCCCCTCCTCCTCCACGGGTCGCCTACGGCCCCGGGGGAAACCAGGTAGGAGCGTGGCGGAAACGTCGGCTGACAAGGTCACCATTGCTTGGGGGAAGTGTGTGTGTGGTGCCGAGGCGAGAGCCCCAGTTCGGAAGCGGCCTGTGCTCCCTCCTTGTGCTGCTGCATCCTGTGGCGACGATGTGCGCGGCGCTGCGGCGAGAGCCCCATGCTTTCAGCGCCCTGTGCTCCACAGGTGCACCGACAGCACGGCGCGAGGCGGGCGCTCGCGGCGCGAAGCCCAGAGGCCCAGCTTGGAAGCCGCGCGTGCCCCATCCAAGCGCCTGAGACGAGTGTGCGCAGAGCTCGGGCGAGATTTCCATGTTCCCAGCGCTCACCCCCCCCCTCCTTCCGTCTAGCGTTTGCTCTTTCTTCGATCCTCGACCATGGGAGGCGAGGGCGTCTCAGGCGAAACGCCTGGCCCGCCCCACCGACACGTCTCGGGGGGGGTCCGATAGGGGGGAGCTCTCTATAAGAGGCAGGGATGGAGCCCTCCCTCCTCCTCCTCCTCCTTCTCCTCCTCCTTGTCCTCCTCCTCCTCCTCCTCCTCCTCCTCCTCCTCCTCCTTCTCCTCCTCCTCCTCCTCCTCGTCCTCCTCCTCCCCATCCTCCCAAAACTCCATCCCTCCTCCGCCTCCCCAACCCCCATCCCTTCCTCCACCCTCCTCCGCGAACACGGCGTACGTTCGCGGAGGAGGGAAAAAGGAGGGAAGAAGTTGGAAAAGAGGGAGGGGAGAAAAGAGGTTCGAGGCCCGACGTTCGAGGATTTGGAGCGTTGCGTTGCCCTGTGTATGCCACCTGGGGCCTTCAGGGACCCCCAAGGATCCTGAAGGCCTCCAGAGACCTCCTGAGGGCGACGAGGAGGGGGAGGACGAGCCGGAGGAAGTGGAAGAGGAAGAGGAAGAGGAGGAGGATGAGGAGGAGGAGGAGGAGGAAGAGGAGGAGAAGGAGGAGGAGGAGGAGGAAGGGGAGGAGGAGGATGAAGAGGAGGAGGAGATTGAGGAGGAGGAGGAGGACGACGATGACAAAGGAGGAGCAATTAGGAGCGGCGATGAGGAGGCAGAGGAGAAGAACGGTGAGGACGGGCAGACGGAGGATGGGGAGAAGGGCTCCGATCCACCCGATGGCCTCAGCCCTCCGCTACTGGAGCACGCGGAGTAGCCGGAGAGGGAACGGCGGGAGCGGCTGGAGCGGGAGCGGTTGGAGCGGGAGCGGAGGCTGTTAGAGGGAACAGAAACACGAGCGGGGCTCCTCGATGCCCTGAGCCTCCTCCGTCCTCCTCGTCCTCCGCCCTTCTCCTCGTGGCCTATATCCATCCTCCTCCTCGTCCCCCGCATCTCTTCCGCTCCTCCGCCGCCTTATCCTCATCGTCGTCATCGTCATCTTCCTCCTCCTCCTCATCCTCCTCCTCCTCATCCTCCTCCTGGGAATAAGATGATGGAAGGTGTTGGGCCATTTTCGACCTCTCGGGGCCCTCGCCAGGCCCCCGGACCGTCAAGAGCCTACTCGGGGCCAAAAGAGAGGCCCTGGGGAAAGGGTCGGGACTTCCAGGGGCCCCGTATTTCACCGAGCGCGCTCCATCACTCGCAGAATGCCAATTCCCGATCGGTCGGAAAAAACACATGCATGTCTTCCTCTACGCCATGGGCCGTCAATACCCCGCGGCGGCTCCAGGCCATCTGCGATTACATACCCCGCGAGTAGTGGAACGCGCTTCTCTAGCATTGAAATATATAAACGACAATAGTAGTAATAGCAATAACAACATGGATACTAATATTAACATTCATGATGATAATAATAGTATCAATAATAACAATAATGTTAATAACATTAAACATTAATGACCATGTAAAAGTATCTAAGCCAAAAGAAAAGAAACAACTAACAACTGTCTGGGCGCCTGGGAGGGGGCCCCCGGCTCGGCGGGCGCCTCGCGCTCCTGTGGATGGTGCGCCAGGGCAGAATAGCGGCCCAGAGATGCGCGGGCGCGCGTGGTGCCCGAAGCCCCCCGGTCCGTGCGACCGCGGTGTGCGCGCCCTCCTGCGCGGCGTGCGCGACCTGTTCCAGGAAGTAGTTTTAGAATAATGGTGGGACGAAGTTCCTGTCATTTTTCGGCTGCGTTCGGAGATTCACAGGTTTTTTACTGTTCTTCCACAGTCCGCCTGTAGGAGGACGTGCCCGACATAGATATATTTCTGGGCCCTCGCCCTGATGGGTCTTTCGAGGTCGTCGATATCCTCCGTCGGGACGCGTCGAAGGCACCCCCACAGGGCTGGCGTTGGGCGCCACCTACTCCGTAGGGTCGGGCACTGGTGGCCACCCGTGCTGCAACTGGTTGCGCTGGTGGCCGGCCGGTGGCCGCAGGAGTGTTGAGTTCGTCTTTGTCCACGTCGGTTGCAGTCTGCCAGGCGTCGAGGTCGCAGATAGGCGGGGGCCACGCTGTGCAGCCGAAGGTGGGCGGTCCGACATGGTGCTCGGTGAGGCTGGTGATGTAGCCACGATCGGTGCTCCAGTGCGTCCGGCTCCTCGTGTTCGAACTGCCTCCACGAGTGTAGCCGCGCGCATAACTGGGTCATCCTCGGAGGAATCTTCGTCTGCCCAGGCCCGCCCAACGCGTGCGGTGTGGTACCAGTTGCGGAGCTCCACGCCCAGATTGTCTCATCGGTGACGTAGACCTCGACCTCCAGCTGTGATCGCCGTGCCCCTGGTGCATTTCCCTTGGGCAGATCGGAGTGCAGCGCGTGTCGTTCGGTGAGGTCGCAGCCCGCTTGCTTGTAGACCTGCTCTTGCAAGGAGTAGTGGATATGGAACCTGCGGGTCCACACCTCTCCATCGGGGCCGCCAGATAGGAGTCTCAGCATGAGATCGATGGGTGGTGTTCGGGCAGCCAGGTCGGATGTACTTCTCCAAAGCATGACGGCGATGAATGCACTTTGCTCCAGATCCTTGCTGCGCTTGCCCTCAATGGTGCTCTTGGAGGGCCTCCCATCAGTTCGAGCAGAACGTTGGATGGTGATTTCGGTGGTGTAGCTTGTGGTGGACACCCACAAGAGAATTCACACACGGCGTAACGCAATTGTTCGATTAGTCGGTCAATCGATTCCCAGCCAGCAGCTGCCGAGAAGGCCAGGGTGCAGTGGGTCCAGGGTTTGAGACTCGTCTTCATCCGTTTCTTGGCCGTCTTGATGGGCACAGAAATGGGTCCGACCTCGAGCGGCTCGTAGGTGTGACGGTGGGTGAGCTGGTAACGGGTGAAGTTGTTTCGGCTGTTCAGGTCCACTATGCGGCGCAGTGCTTTGCGTGCTGCGGCCTGGGTGGTCGTGGTAGTAGAGTGCTCGGTTATCCTCGTGGCCGTTATGGCGAAACAGGAGGACAGGAAGATCAGAAACTCTTGTGGGGCCTGGATGTCTCGTCGTTCGTTGCGAGCTGGCTCATGATTTCACACGCTGCGAGGTGTGGATCCTGGTACCCTGCTGCCTTCTGGTTACCCGCATGTCACGCGTTGTGGTCGAGCGGCAGCTTGACCATATTGTTAAACACCTCGTAGTCGATGGTATCGTCGTGCTGCAGGTGCTGGTCACCCAGTGTGCGGTCCCACACAAGATCAACCGCTGGTTGAAACAGTGGTTGGTCATGATTCGCTGTTGCTGGTCGTTCCTGCCTTGCTCTTTGGGGGCCCCGTCCTGAGGAAGCTCCACTGCTCGCGGAGCGCCATGGCTGGTGATTCGGCGTGCGCAGGTGTGCTCGCCCGTCGTTTGAGCCAGATGTTGCGGTATGGGGTAGGGATGGTGGACGGCGACCAGGGAAGGAGAGCACAGGCGGGTGGTGGGAAAAGGGCGGAGGGGGAGGGGGAAGAGGAGAAGGAGAAGGAGGAGGAGGAGGAGAGGGAACAATCACATCGACCGCCATTAGTAGTAGTAGTAGTATTAGTAGTAGTAGTAGTAGTAGTAGTAGTAGTAGTAGTAGTAGTAGTAGTAGTAGTAGTAGTAGTAGTAGTAGTAGTAGTAGTAGTAGTAGTAGTATTAGTAGTAGTAGTAGTAGTAGTAGTAGTAGTAGTAGTAGTAGTAGTAGTAGTAGTAGTAGTAGTAGTAGTAGTAGTAGTAGTAGTAGTAGTAGTAGTAGTAGTAGTAGTAGTAGTAGTAGTAGTAGTAGTAGTAGTAGTAGTAGTAGTACTAGAAGTAGTAGTAGTAGTAGTCGTAGTCGTAGTCGTAGTCGTAGAAGTGGTAGTAGTAGTAGTAGTAGTAGTCGTCGTAGTCGTAGTCGTAGTCGTAGTCGTAGTCGTAGTCGTAGTCGTAGTGGTAGTCGTAGTCGTAGTCGTAGTAGTAGTCGTTGTAGTCGTAGTAGTAGTCGTTGTAGTCGTAGTAGTAGTAGTAGTAGTAGTAGTAGTAGTAGTAGTAGTAGTAGTCGTCGTAGTCATAGTAGTAGTAGTAGTAGTAGTAGTAGTAGTAGTAGTAGTAGTAGTAGTAGTAGTAGTAGTAGTAGTAGTAGTGTATTAGTAGTAGTAGTAGTAGTAGTAGTAGTAGTAGTAGTAGTAGTAGTAGTAGTAGTAGTAGTAGTAGTAGTAGTAGTAGTAGTAGTAGTAGTAATAGTAGTAGTAACAGTAGTAGTAGTAGTAGTAGTAGTAGTAGTAGAAGTAGTAGTAGTATAGTAGTATAGTAGTAGTAGTAGTAGTAGTAGTAGTAGTAGTAGTAGTAGTAGTAGTAGTAGTAGTAGTAGCCGTAGTAGCTGTCGTAGTAGTAGTAGTCGTCGTAGTAGTATTAGTAGTAGTAGTAGTAGTAGTAGTAGTAGTAGTAGTAGTAGTAGTAGTAGTAGTAGT